TAAAAAGATTGATGTGATAACTTATAATATTTTTTTGACTTTTTTGTTAAGATATTTAATCCCCAAACAAAGATGCTACTCAGTGTTTGATTTGAGTTTTTTGAATTAAGTTTTTTGATTTTCGTATTTTTTTATTTTTAGTGAATATTTTTAAAATTTTAAACATTTTTTTTTTACTTTTTTAGATGCACCTTACTTAGATGTATCTAAAAAGTAAAAAATTTGTGAAAAAATATTTTTAAAAATTAATAAATACATAAAAATACAAAAATTGTATTGAATTCTCGTATTTTTTTTTGTATTTTTGGTATTTAGTTAATTTTTAAAAGGTTTTTTTCAAATTTTTTTTTTACTTTTTAGGTATATGTATGTTAGGTATGTTTAAAAATTAAAAAAATTGCTCAAAATATTAAAAAAATTCAGTAAAAATAAAAAAATACGGAAAATAAAAAAGTAAAATTTTTTAAAAAATGTTTTTAAAAAATGATAACCAAGCATAGTAATTGTTATTGTTGGAAAATGTATATAAAATGTATTGAAATATGTAAATGGTCAATAAAAGTATGTAAAAGGGTTTTGGAATATGTAAAATATTTATATTTTGATTTTATGTAGTTATTATTGGCAGACTTCTTCAGGATTGTTATTAGCAAGACTCTTAAGATATTAATAAAAATAAAAATAAAAAATTATAAGACAATGAAAAGTAAAAAAATTATTTACCGAAAGATGTGGAGTGCAATTTTTCTTCTGATTTTTTTTGCATAGAAAAAATTACACTCTTCATATGTTTGTAATTATATTTTGTCTTTTACTTTAATTTATAATTTCTCCAAAATAATACGAGTTTAGTAAAATAATACGAGTTTAGTAATTTATGAGGATCAAAACTTAAATTTGTAAACGAGTCACTGACCAACTTGATCAAACTGGTTTGATTTTTAAAACATTGGTAAAAACTATGCCCTATCTATGCACGGTTGATAATTTATGCTGGCATTATCTTGGAGAAAATATAATAAATTTTATAATTTTAAAATATTATTGATATTTTTTAATAAAAATAGATGGATTATAATTAAAACAAATAGTGTGAAGATACAATAATAAATCAGATAAAATATATATTACAATTTAAAAGAAAATAATAATAATAATAGTTTTTAATCTATATGAATAGCAAATTACTAATAAAAAATTCAACGTTATATGAATTAAACTTTAAAAGAAGCCTAATATAATTATATTAAATTTATAAGAATTACAATATGTTTTTGGGAAAATTATAAATTAGTGATATTTTTCCAAAATATAATTATAGACTCATGAAAAAAATTATAATTTTAATCATTAAAGTCAATTTACCATTAATCTAATTTTTTTTAAAAACATCCACTAATTTGTTATTTTTCCTATGTTTTTCAAACACAAGGAGAAGCCAAATAATTTACCTTCCCAATTTATGTATAACATTAATCCGTGTAAAAAATAACTTATGGGTATTTTTTTTCATGTTAATGATAGTTTTAAAAATTGTCAATAAATATTATCAAATGCCAAAAATTTATAATTTTAAAGACGTTGAGGCCATAATCCGTTTTGGAAATTTTTAGGCTAATAGGCTCAAACTTAATTTTTTTTTAGCCAAAAAAATATTAATTGTCCAAAAGGACACTTTATTTGTTCAAAACCTACTTATCTATCTATCGGTGTAAATATCACGTATCTATATATATGTCAACTATCTATTCAAACGTCACATATTTATATATGTATCACTTATCTATTCAGCTATCTATCAAATATCACTTAATAGTCCATCTCATCGCCACCCACCACCATCGCCATCGTCAACTTTTTGATTATTTTTCCGGCCAATTTTTAATACTTGTTCTTACTACTGAAAAAAAATTAAAATGTTACCTCATACGAATAAACTTTTCGCCAATCAACCTTAATTTTAATACACTTTTTACCTATTTTAAAATACTAGGCAGATATTCGGATTTAAGGTAGTGATACAAACGAAAATTCAAACAACGAAAAATAAAAATAGACAAAATTAGGCTATAATGCTTTAAAAAAAATACGGATGAAACAGAAAATTCAACTTAGCTAGGGTTTGCAGGAGAAACAGAGAATGAATCGATTTGCTTATACATATATACAGGTCCAATATACAAGTCAAGAAGAAATCTAACCGCTTTGGGTTGTTGTTTGGCATGAGGAATATAAGTGTACTTATTTAGATAAGTGTATTTAGATCATATCACTTCTTTATTTTTTTACATATTTTTTTATAAAAAATTAAAAAGTATATTTATTTAGAAACTAATGCTATGTGTACCAATTAGTACACTAATAATATATATCAATTAATAATGTGACAATTTAAGATATTTTTAGTATTCGTAAATTATATAAAAAATAAAGTTAATAATAATGTCATGATTAATATTAATATATTATTTAATATATTAATCGATATATGTAATATGACAAAAAAAAAAAAAAACTGACAAAATGTCCGATCGGCTTTGTCCAGATACCTTGGCGAGTAAGAAATAAAACCCTCTTTTTTTTAGTTGGTCCCACTACCACCAGTGGACAAAATGTCTGATCGGCTTGTATGGATACCTTGGAGACTAAGAAATAAAACCCCTTTGTTTTTTTTGGGTCCCACTACCAGTGGTGCCCGGTATGCCATCATAAAAATAAATATTATATGAAGTTTTTCCATAAAGTGTCCATTCATAAAAATTTAGAAAATCTTAAGCCTTGTTTGATTTGTGTTTTTCAAAAAATTTAAAAAAAAAATTTTTACAAATAAATTTTTAAAAATAATCAAATTAAATAAATTTTTTCAAATTTTTTTTCTAAAACTTGTTTGGTTTACAAAATTTTCCAAACAAATCTCTCTCTCATACACATCAAATCAATCACTTTTTTCAAAATTCTCTTTCAAAATAATTTTTCAAAACATCTTTTGAAAAAAAATCAAACCAAATAAATTTTCGTATTTTTTATCTCAAAATATGTTTCTTAAATACAAACCAAATAAGGCCTTAGTGCCTATTATTCCTATATGGTGTTTGTAATTGTTGTCATATGGTGCCTTTTTAGGAACAATATGTTGAGAAGGGATATTTTGAAAATATAAAAAAGTAGAAAGTAAGGGGTTGTTTGGGGTGTCATAAATAAGTGTACTTTTTGTCTTTTTAGATTAAAAAGTTAAGGTTAAAAATATGAATGTTTGGGTTAACTTTTTGACTTTTTATGAAAAAAATATGTATTAAAAAATTGTATAAATTAATGTGCAGGGAAAAATTAGTATTGGAAGTTGTGCAGCCATAATTGTTGACTTTTGGTGAATAGTGATAACTTTTTAACTTTTTTAGTAACTTTTTGACTTTTTGACTTTTTTAAAACTTCCCAAACTTGGCCTAAGTGACGGTATCTTCGTTTAGGAAGAGTTAAAATAGCTCGATTTTTTAGTTTTTTTTGTTATTTTAGGCTTGGTTTGGCATAACCTAAAAAAGTCAAAAAGTCAAAAAGTCACTATTCTATTTAAGTCACATTATCTTATTTAAATCACATCACCTCTCTAACACATCACATCAAACCCAACCCAAACCCAACCCATATAAGTCAAAAAGTTCACTTTTTTAGAAGATCTCAAACCAACCCTTAGTATGACTTTTTTTAATTTTGTTTGGTTTTTGATTTTTTTGATTTTTGTGAGAAAAAAAGTATAGTGATTATGATTTGGATACAGGGCCGGCCCTGACTTAGGCCTCGTTTGGGGAGTGGCTATTTTAGCCAAAAAGTCAAAAAGCCAACTAAAACTAGTCACATCACCTCTCTACTTTTCTGTACATCTTTTCGTAAAAAGTCAAAAAGTTACTAAAATAGTCTGTTCCCAAATGAGGCCTTATTAGGGACCTAATAGGCAAATTTTTTAAATTGGGCCCTTCGTATATCATTATTCAAAAAAAAAAAAATTGTTTGGATAAAACAAAAAAGATAAAAATTTATTTCTATTGCATTACAATTTAACAAAATTTAGATAACAAATATATATATATATATATATAATAGTTGAACTTCAATTAGTTGAATCGAATTTTTATTTTTTAGCTTGCCATGTTATAAGAACAAAAATTAATTGAGGGTAAGGATGAGAATTTTCGACACAACTCAAGCAATATATAAATTAGCAAGTTAAGGTTGACTATTTTCAACATGAATCCAAGTATGACACAACTCAATAACATAAATTATTAGTTATATATTTGAATGTTCACCGAGGGATGCCATGAAATTTTTTTAATCTTTTATTTAACTCTATCTAATTGAATAAAAAAGTATGTAAAATAATAATTAAGGCTAATATCTTTTTTTCATTTAAGATATATATTTTTTTGTTACTTATTTTAGAGTCAATCTAATAAAAAATATATAGTAATAAGGTACAATTTTTTTAATTAGAAAAATGCAATTGAATTAAAATCAAACATTCTATGAATAATTCTATTTAGTTGAAATAAATTTTATAAAATTTAATTTATGAGAAAAATTTTAATCTCTCTATAAACTTGCTAAGTTATTTTTAACTAAAAATGAAAATTTTCACATTAAGCATTAATCGAACACGAATCAAAATAACATTACACGACAACATAAAAATAAATAAATTAAATTAATATTAAAATAATTATAAAATAACATGACATAATATCCTCTCCAAATTAAAAACCTTAAATTTTGTTCAAAATTAGAAACATGAGGTGAAAGTTAAAATCATCCTTTTAATTTTAAGACTCTAATTAAATATTAATAAAGTGAAAATCAAAATATCATATCAATTAATGAAGTGACACCTAAAACTTCTTTAGAACTCGTAATTTGAAACTTCCAAACATTTTTCAAAAACAAAAGGTGGACTGTGTTGACTACGAGAAAGAATCTCTTAATTAATTAATTAAATATATATATTTTTTTTAAAGCTGGAAATTAGTACTTAAGAGTGAGTTTCCTATTCTTTATCTTTTGTGCCCAAATTCAGACAAAGGTAAAGCTAAGCTAGCGTGCTTGTCTCCGCGATCATGGCTTCTTCACTCCTCTTCTTCTCTCTCCTTCTCTTCAACCTGCAAGGTATGTATGCATGTATATTTCTTCTCTTCTCTGCTTCGATTGTCCATAATTTTTGAAATATTTTCCTTCAGTTTCCATGGCTGGCAGTGACATCGCATTCGAAGATGGCTACACAGTCAGTACAGTCATCGACGGCCACGAATTCCAAATAAATCCTCGCTCGATTCTCCCTCAATTTGGATCGTCCGATCTCATCATCCTCGATTCAGCCAACAATGCCTTTTACACCGTCTCAATTTCCAAATCCCAAGGTACCATATTAATATGCGTACGGATTATATGAATGTGTTTGTAAAAGAAAATCGATTTCTACACCTATAAAATGTTAAAAATATCATGAAAATATATAAAGAAAATATTTTTGAGTTACAAAAATAGAAACTGTAAGACACAAGCACTCTATAAAGCTTAATTGTGAGAATTCATTTTTGTTTTTTTGGTTATATTTTGTTCGAATTGTTAAATTTTATAGTTCAAACCCATTATTTCATAGATATAGATTTTTTTACAACTGAGAGGAGAGAAATCTAGATAATTTAAAAATAATCGATAGCTAATATTAGTGTAAGGAGGGGATTTTTGAAATTGTATCTGGATCGATCCTTGTTTGTAGATATTGGTTCATGTTCTGTACTTGCAGAGATTGCGGTCAAGCGGTTATCTGGTGGCAATTTGGGGTTTTTGGATGGTGATTTGGCCGCTGCTAAGTTTAATGACCCGAGAAGCTTTGCGGTTGATCTCAACGGGAATGTATATGTTGCTGACAGGGGTAATCTTGCTGTGAGAAAGATCAGCAAGTCAGGTATTGTTACATCATTATACAAATTGAGAAGTAATATACTCTAATTTCAGTTGTTGTTGTTGTTGTGAAATTGTTTTCATTTGAGTTGAGTGCAAGGATGGTTGTGCTGCAATGGCGACCGAGTTCAATGATTTGTGGGGTTGTATTGGTTATGAATAATTGACATAATTCATAGTCTTTGGGAAATTGGATGTGTATGAATGGTAATGCAAGAAATTATTATGTGATTCAATTGGATATATTGCTTGCTTAAACATTTTTTTTTGGAAAAAAGATTTCTGCATTTTGTAGCATTTGGTACTACAAAAAACTGGAAGTCAAGGAAAAACATATTCTGTGGTTAATGGAAAATAAATTTATTTAGTTGTAGAAAACGGGGGCGGGAATGAGGGCATATAGAAATTTTTAAGGTTGAGAGCGTGTATTTATTTACATATTAAATATATTGTAACAATTACATTATTATTTTGTTATATATCTATCTATATATTATTATTTCTAAGGTTGGGAGCCTTGGCTTCTCTATGTGCCAAGTGGATTTCTTAATTTGAAAAACAAAGAAGAAATTTTGATAATGAACTTAGCACCTTAAGTTTGATAATGAACACTCTTACTACTTAAATGCACACAAGATATAATAATTTTTTTGTTTTGTTTTTATTTATTTTAAAGGCTCAAACCTAACACCTTTTTTTTTTTGAAATAAAAACAAAACGAAACGAAACAAAACACCTTTATGTTTGATAAAACACACTTACCACTTGACTAGCACACAAGATATAATACTTTTTTTTTGTTTTTTTTTTCTTATTTGAATTGCACACGTATCGCGTGTGCCAAGCGCTAGTATATATATAAGTTTATTAGTGTTTGGCACACCAGGATGCGTGTGCAATTCAAGAAAATAAGAATAAATAATAAAGAAATTAATATTGAGACATGTGTGCTGCTTAAGTTATAAAAGCTTCATATCGTAAATGCAAGGTTAGCATTTTGAGTCTTGTACACTTCTTTATGTTACTTTTTTGTTTTAAATATTTATACTTACTTGAATTTCACATGCATCGCGTCTACCAACCGCTAGTATATATATAAGTTTACTAGCATTTGACACACGTGATGTGTGTGCAATTTAAGTTAATAAAAATAAATAATAAAGAAATAAATATTGTAATATGTGTGTTGCTCAAGTGGTATAGACTTTCTATCTTAAATGCAAAGTTACGGTTTTGAGTCTTGTGCATTTCTCCTTATGCCACATGTCTTTCATTTCTCTATTTAATACAAAAAAGTTATATAGAGAGGTGCACAAGACTCGAAATCGATATTCTCAGTCTAAGAAAGAAAGCTCTTACCACTTGAGCAATACACATATTATAATATTATAATTTTTTATTTTTACTTATTTGAATTGCATAAGCATCCGTATGCCAACAGCTAGTATGAATAAATATTAGAGATTAATGTCAATTACAAATTATCTTCGATAAGTATAAATAAATATTATGTAAATAGAAATTACTAAAACAAGTTTAGATTATTTTCCTTTTATTTATATGAGATTTGTATATTGGAGAGGTTCTATCACAATTGGGAGTGAGTTTCTTCTTTGATGGGAGTGGATTTCTTATTTGGGAGCACGAAATTGTGTTTTTGAGTAAAGAAATGTCACTTAAGTAGGAGGTTCTTGCTACTAAGCCACCTCCTCCTACCACCACCATCCTACTATTGTCACAACCATCACTGCCAACACCACACTATACTACAACCACTAGCATCACCACCCCTGCCACACCACAATGTGACCACCACAGCCATAATCACCCTACAACCATTGGCGCTACCTCCCTACTGCCACAAATATCACTACCACAATCACCAACTCCATCGTTGATCTACTAGTGTATAATTAGGTAAATACTTTTCTTCCATTCCATCATTTTAATATATATAAAACTAAACATTAGAATGAGAGTCGTCATCCATTTACACATCATTCCATGTTGGCAACCAAATAGTGAAATGGAAATAAGCATTTCATTCCATTCCATTCAACTTTGTATTCCATTCCTACCCTTATTCCATTTTGGCATACCAAATGTGCCCATAATCTTGCTTAAACCCTTAGTCGCAGGAATCACTGAAGTTACTCACAAATCAACCGAAGAAGCGCGATTCTGTGCATCTGAGGAAGAATCGGAGAAGAATCACGAGTCTAATGCTAGATAAACGCAAATTTGATAAGAGAAGGAACTTATCTAGATCTGTCATCCTCATTCTCGACCTCAATTTCTCCGTCGATCGTCTCTGTTTTCTCGTGATCTTGTCGCCTCTCTCTCTCCCGATCGATCTCGTCATCTCTCTCGGTCGATATTGTCTCCTCTCTCTCTCTCTCAAGATCGATCGATCTCTATCTTCTTCTTCTCTCTCTCTCTCTCTCCTCTTCTTTTATTCCATTCATCTGTCTTCTTCTTCTCCTCTCCCTCTCTCTTCTTTTATTTTATTTTTGTAAGAAAATAAATAAAACAAACAATTTTTAACAAAAACATTTTAAAATAAACAAATAAAAAAATAGTATAAATATTTTAGAATAAATGAAAAAAATATAATAAAAGTATATAATTATAATATTTTAACATATGATTTTTTATATGTTTAAAAAAAATATATATATAACATATATTTTCATTATCATTAGAGGAAAAAAAAATATAATCTTACAATATTATTTTTATATATTATATTATTTAATATATATACAAATGCTCCCTACCAACGATTCTTGGAATGTCTACGATTCCTCGCTCCCGCTCCCGCTCCCGCTTCCGCTTCGTGCAACTAAGCTTAAACCTAATACTTATCAAAAATTAAAATAATAATAATAAAAAAAAATCTTGCTTAAACCTAATGTTCTAATTACCTTGGACATTCGAACTGGGGAATCAATCTTATTAGTTGCTTGCTATTTGTAATAAAGATGCTATGTGTTCCATCCAGTTGGTCAAACCATTTTACCGGCATCATATTTTTTGAAGTGATATTTGCATTACATCTATATTACTATGTTAACTGTCATCCCTTATTGTTCTCATGTGACTATTGGGATCTACTTTGTGATCAATGATGCATTTTTAGGTGTGACCACAATTGCTGGGGGTAATTCAGCACCAGGCCGTGTGGATGGACCTGGACGAAATGCATCATTCTCCACTCATTTTGAGCTGGCTTTTGTTCCTGAAAGATGTGCTTTAATGATCTGTGATCATGGTAATTACGTGGTCCGCCAGATTAACCTGAAGCCACAGGATTGTGAGAGAGGTCCTCAACCTGGTAAGTTGTCAGAGTTTATTTCATGTTTGTAAATTGAAACATATAGTTGACTGAAAAAACAAAAAACAGGTTAGTATAATATTATGTATTGAAAGTCTTATTGAAGAAAAGTATTCTTTAAATGCATATTTCTTTAGACAACATGTTAACATAACACATTAGGCCTTTCTTGTAGGACTCTGGCTGTTTAAAAGCTCAATATTTGTTTCTTGTAGGAGTGTTCTCTGTCTCTCTCTCTCTCATATTTATGTGTTTTCTTTACACTGAAATTAGAAGGCGTATATATGCTAGTTCCAATATATAGGCATCTTATGATGGAGGAAATGATTAAGAAGTGCTTCCTAATACCATCTTTTCAGTTGCTGAAAATTTACCCTGATGTCATATAAGTATCTTTGCCTATATATTTGGAATATCAGTTATGCTTCTCAATTGCAAGGAAAATAACATATCATTATTTTTGTACATAAAAAAAAAACACTCAGTACGGAGCGTGGCTGCATGGGCTTGGGCTTTGGTTCTGGGAGTTTCTTGCTTGCTTAGCTTGATAATTGGGTTCGCAGTTCGTCCTTATGTCACTCCACATGTAAGTGTCTCCTTTATTTATTTTGATATCCTGTGATAAAATTGGAGGCCTCGTTTGGTAACCTTTTTGTTTTGAGATTTTTGTTTTCATATTTTTTGGGGGGAAATTACAAAAAAAATACCCCAAGGTTTGAGCTTTGTAAAATATAAACCCTGAGTTTTTAATTTTGTCAATTTAAATCTTAAAATTTTGATTTGTTTTCAATCTAAACTATTTGCTTATTTTCATAAAGTAAAATTAATGAAAAAATAGGTATTTTAGTCATTAAACTCAATGAAAATGATATTTTAAACATTTTATGTATATCTAAATTGAGTTTAATAACTAAAATATTCTTTTTTTGGTCAGTTTTACTTAACAAAATAGACGAATGGTTTAGATTGAAAACAAATCAAAAGTTTAGAGTTTAAATTGATAAAATTAAGAACTCAGGGTTTATTTTGTTATAAGACTCAAACCTTGAGTTTTTTTTTTATTATTTTATTTTAATTTTTAGAAACTAGAAACGAACAATTGATTCCAAAACTTTTAAAATTTTTGGAATCAAAAAAAGAAAAGAAAAGTATTTTCACTTGTTTTCAACACAAGTTTTCACTCTCTCCTGTCACTACCAACCACCATCAGTGTCCCTCCGGCGGGCTCCGGCTATTGGGCAGCCATCCGTCGGCAGTGGCCCTCCTGCGACGCTCCGCCTACTCACCAAACATGTTTATTCATTTTTGTTTTCAAACGGCACCTTACATGTTGTCTAACCAAACTTTGTAGACAGGAAGGTGCCAACCCATTTCATCTCAACAAGACATGGAAGCATTTCCTAGTCAGTCGGGGGAGGCAAGTACTGATGCTCTGCTTCGACATCAGAAGCGTACTTGTTAGTTCAACACTGTACACGAGGAGGATCATTATGTTAAGCTTATCTCATCTGTTTCTAATGCTTGGGATCAACACTGTAGAATCCCAAACTTCATTTGAAAAAAAAACTGTATCTTTGTTAGATTCTGAGATTTTAGGAAGCGAAGTGATAACAACGAAGTCCCAGATATTTGCTGAACAATTAAAAGATTTGATAACTTTTGATGGAGAAGAGGAATCACCGAACCCTGCTGACAAGACTTTCAAGCTAGGAGATGATAATGAACACGGAAACGATGTTTTATGTGACAACCATCAAAGGATAGATAATATGATAAACGATAACATAGTGGGTTTTGTTGAGCAGGCTAAAAAAGTCCAGCTGGATGAGTCCTTTGTAAGCAGTTCAGGTTTGGTTAAGAGGAGATGAAAATATTGAAGGGGACTTTCTATTTACGTTGTTTATGTATAACCTCTCTAAGCTATCGTGTATGTTTGGGGCTTTTACATTGTTGTATGTGTTTTGCATTGGTTTTCTTTGTTTTCCCTCTGGATCTTGTGTTGCTATGTACAGGATTTTTAGATAGAGTTAGACTGTAAGATTGATATGGAAACTGGCCAATGTTGTATCGATGGTTTCACCTCCGCTAGTTTTGCTAATACATTTCAGTTTGATTAAATCAACAGTCCGGTATAGGAATAAGGGGCGTTTGGTTTGCTGAAATGATTTTAGGCATGAATGGAACGAGAGATTGGAATGGAGCGAGATAGGTATAGCTATTCCCATTTCAAAGTTTGGTGAAATGCAGGAGTTAGGGAAGGCAATTTGACACGGCCTGCCCTGGCACCGTATCTCCACTCTTAACTCGCCCAAATTTTTCCTATCGTGATGAGAAAATGAGTAGGAGATGGGATTTGCTTCTCCTGCCTTGTTTTTTTCTGCCTTGTCTCGATTTTATATATTAAATACTTTTTATGTGTATATATATATATCTATATATAATTTGATTTGTTGAATATAATTAGGATAAAACACTAAAATATTTATATATTTCATTGTTTACATCTGTATATGTCAATTATATATATGTGTATATATATATATTTAACTCTCATTATTCATCAGAGTGCACATGCATTAGGAGGAACACTCTTCAGACTCTACAGGTCCAAAATATTGATATGTCATTCATATGCCTCATTGTTTACTTGTGCAACATGTGTAGAGTTGACAAAGACAATTCCAAATCATGAATTCTCTTAATTACACTTATTTCAAATTTGTTTAAATTCGTTTGAATATATAAACAAATTTTAATATCTTCTAAATCTAATTAAAATTGAGTTTGAATGAGTTGGACAATGGACACCGTCACCACCACCACTAAGTCCATCAAGTACATCATTGCCGCCTCCACCACCACTGTGTAACTCCTCCACAACCCTCGTCACCCCTCCACCACCATTAGAAAAAGAATTCAATAAAGTAAATGAATTAGACCTCCACCACCATTAGAAAAAGAATTCAATAAAGTAAATGAATTAGACAGGTTAATTTGTCTAACTCGTACCTAATTCACCCGATCGGTTTATTAGATGGGCGGTTTGAGCTATTCTATTGCATAGCCTGTTTTGATCCGCTTTAATCAACATGTTTGCCACCTTTAAATATGTGACAACTGTAAAACTATGAGAACGCATATATTTTAAGAATTTGATTTCTCTTTAATTGGATTCAAAATGGACCTCACAGATTCAACAACACCAAATTGAGAGAAGAAGTTCCGATCTATGATGGCTGACGATGATAGTCTTGCAGATTTAATGCAAATTTTGATGAACTTATGAACACTTTTTTTATAATCTTAATGAATTAAGATATATATATATATATATATATATAATTTTCAATATAGTTCAACTTGTGCACTTCCTCAAAAAAAAAAAAAAACATTACAGTCAATGACTTAAAAAAATATTACAATCACTGCATGTCTACCCAAGCTTACTTCCATCAAACACAGTCTCAACAATATACCCACTCTCAAACTTCATCATCGGACGGCCAGTAATTGCTGAACATCAAAAATCACACAAACCCCACCATTCCAGATTAAAATCAGCAAATCAACAAACTATCAAAAAATAAAAGCCAATGTTGGTTGTAGCAGAGTATCATCAGAGATCTATACCTGTTTTGGTGGTAGCTGTAGCTTTGAGTGACCACAACCATTTCATCAGAACAGAGGCAACACTTGAGAGAAACCCACTAACAATCTCTGCAAAAAATGAGTATATATATATGCATTGTGTACCCATCAGAGAACAATTGAAAGCTCAAAAGTTGAAACTGATCAAATTGAATGCATATATCTATGTGGGTGTGTACTCACTTGCAGGAGAAGTGGCTTGAGCTGATGAGAAACCACCAAACAAGACTACAAGGGTGAGGGCCAACACCAGCACATTCTTTCCCATTGCTTGTTGTAATCCCTGCACAAAGAAAAATGGACCGCTTTGGCATTTGAAGTCTACTATTTCTGAGGTTTCACATGATCGATTCAAACTCTCAGGGACAACAAAAGGTAAGGTCATCAAAAAAGTTCTTACTACTTTTACTAGAAATACGACAATGATAGCCACAAAGGACGGTATCAGCGCCATTAAGAAATGCTATGTTACATGGACTCTTTTAAATTTGTGCAGTGCTCCCGCATCAAACACTTACACTTAGGATAAAAGATTGGGATGTGTCTAATATGCCTAGCTGGATATACAACCAACAAATATGTATACAATTTATTATATAGCTATGCATAAAACTTCCATGTTATATATGAAATGCTATTTTTTAGTTTGTATACATATTTTACCATTAAAAAACAAGAGGAACATTTAAAAAATATGAAATCTAGTCATGTATTAGTGTCCTTAAATTGACAACTAGTTGAACACTTAGACATATACCCGCACCTGACACCCCTATCCGAATACATGTAAAATAGAAAGAGCTCATTGGTTTTCTCAAAACTCTGCTCATAGTAAGTTTGTGGGGGCGATGAATGATACTGGTGATGATGATGTTGTTGCTGTTTCTGCTGTTGCTGCTGGAAATCACCGTCCCATCCGCTATAAAAAGCATGGCTCTGCCGGAGCTGTTGCATTTTCTCGGCATCCTTGGACATGAATGGGTACATTTTGCGCGGAGTAGGGGTTCTGGTTTCAATAGAAGGAGGCTCGTCTTCATCTCGAATCACAAAGCTCTCTTGCACTGGCCAAGCATTTAAATATTTGTGCTGTTGGGGTTGTTGATATTGATAGCTTGGCGACTTCTTTCTAAAACCTGGAAATATCCCCGTGAAGATTTCTGTGACTGATGCCCCAGTGTTGACAAGAAGCTTGCCAAGAGATCCAAATAAGCCTTCTTCTTGCTTTTCCTGATCATCTTCGGTTGGAATTAGTGGTGGCCTCACTGAAGATTTCATAGACTTCTGATATGGACTTGGAGGAATGCTCTGTTTTGGTGTTGTCTCATCCTCCTTCAGGAGCAAAGATAGAAGGAAAACAATGTGTTACTGTCATATTGCTGCAAAAGATACTGGAATTTTGTTTTATTTTATTGTTGTTATTTTTTATGGATCTTAGGAAACATAAGGTTGTGCTTTTAGGGAAGCAAAAAAGTCCATCTAGACACTATGCTATGTTACATGAACTCTGGTGCAAGTATCAAGTGCAGGTGTGAGTCCAAACGTTAAACCTTAATATTTGGATATTGTGATATGTATCCAAATTTGGATATGGACATGTTTGAAATATTTAAAAATATTCTAATGAAAGACGTTGTAAATTATTAGGAATATAATTGAAATTATATGGGACTTGGGGGAAAAAGAGAATTTCTATCTCTCAACCATAGAAGGATTTTTTACTACCAAATCTAAGATTCTTCTTCTTCAGACATTGTAAAAATTAGATTAATTTGGGTGCTGGTGTCTGACACAAAATTTCACACCCTTACCCTTGTCATATCCGGTCGACACAAGTGCACTAGAAGGAATAGAAGAGTCCATGCAGCGCTGACCTCATGCAAAAGATGCTAATAATAACTGAGTTAATGCATAATTTAGGATAACTAGGGGAGTACATGTGTTCTAGAAAGTGAAGTTCTCACCGTAAACAAATCATTTTGGTACCCTCAGTTTTATAAAGGTTTTCCTTCAATACGAATATGAGTAAGAAGTCGTAGAACTTTCCTCGGATATACTTTAGTGTGGAACTAGAACTATCAAAATGAGACTGGATTTATAACTCACACTTGGGGGAGACACTATGGTACCAACCCTTCGTTGCAGCAATGCCAGCATGTAACCGAAGAAGCCAGCTGCCACAAGCACTGCGATTCCTGCAGTGAGGTTTAACATCTTGTAAAACTGTAATTTAATAAAAATAAAATTATAAACTTGGTGCGGTAATTTTACCAAGAGGGAAACCACTTCCATATTGGTAAGCACAATCATCAAAATGCAGTTGAATCTCCCGGATTGCCTGGTTTCCTCTGTCTATGACAAGGAGGGAGCAACTACTTCCAATGTAAACCACATCAAAATCATTTGAAAACTTTGCATCTTCACTCGGTCCATCTACATGCCCCCCTCCACGACCCCATTTGCCTCCTGCTATTGTTGTAATCCCTGCACAAAGAAAAATGGACCGCTTTGGCATTTGAAGTCTACTATTTCTGAGGTTTCACATGATCGATTCAAACTCTCAGGGACAACAAAAGGTAAGGTCATCAAAAAAGTTCTTACTACTTTTACTAGAAATACGACAATGATAGCCACAAAGGACGGTATCAGCGCCATTAAGAAATGCTATGTTACATGGACTCTTTTAAATTTGTGCAGTGCTCCCGCATCAAACACTTACACTTAGGATAAAAGATTGGGATGTGTCTAATATGCCTAGCTGGATATACAACCAACAAATATGTATACAATTTATTATATAGCTATGCATAAAACTTCCATGTTATATATGAAATGCTATTTTTTAGTTTGTATACATATTTTACCATTAAAAAACAAGAGGAACATTTAAAAAATATGAAATCTAGTCATGTATTAGTGTCCTTAAATTGACAACTAGTTGAACACTTAGACATATACCCGCACCTGACACCCCTATCCGAATACATGTAAAATAGAAAGAGATGAACAATGGAGAATGAAAGGAACATGATTATCTCCAAATATTTTTATAAGACAATGCTGGTAGAGAGAGAAAAAAATAAAAAATAAACTCCGACCGGTGGGAATGATCAAACAAACATGAGTTGCATTTATGATTTACCTGCATCACCTATTTTCCTGATCGCCATATTCATAGTATCAGCAATATAAATGTTCCCTCTGTCATCCACTGCGAGTCCCTTTGGGTGGTTCATCCTTGCCTCCCTAGCTTTCCCATCTATATGTCCAGAGTATCCTTCAGCAGATCCAGCAACCAGCCTCGGTCGGCTATCTGCAGCTCTCGAGCAATTTTATCAAAAATTTAATTTGACAGAGAGATCTTCAGTATAAGACTCAAATAGACCATAACAATGGCATGGAAATGGAATTTTGTTGTGGTGTATATCAGCATGAGCTAGACTAGGGACAGTTCAAGCTTCAATTCAAATTTCCATGTAGAAGAGACAATGCAATTTGGCAAAAAGGCATATTTAACCTCTGAGATGCCAATTCCAATAAAGTATGAAAGAAATATAGTACATTGCATCAACATTGAATTTGAATATGAACTTGGTGCAGAAGCTCAACTGTGATCATACATAGCTCCATAAAAAAAGAAAATTATCAGAAATGAACAAAAAAAAGAAAAGAAAAAGAGCCAAAAAGTGAAATGCCTCAGAAAATAAATCAAAAGGTTCAATGTAATAAACAAAGTGGAAAATTCTAGTACTAACAAAAGCAAATCTGAGATGTCCAAAGTGTACTAGTTAATAATGATGAGCTGAGCTTTCACTTATTAAAAGGATATACATAAGACAAGAGGTCATAACAATATCAAGCCCAAATATGCAAATCTCCAAACAAACAACTCATTTTTAGAATCTGATGCTATGATTTTCCACAAACAAACCAAAACCCACTAAAATCCTGACAACTACCAATGTACTAAAACAAGAAAAATTAATATAAAAAATCAAAATTAAGGAAATAGTTCAAGAAATTAAGACAAAATTCAACAAAATAAGACCAGCCCAGTAAAATTTCAACAAAACCCACTTACATTGAGACAAAGGAGAAGAGATCTTGTAGAGATTACTGTTAGCAGAGTCCAGAACCAAGAGCTCTCCACTGGGCAACACCTCCACAGAGTATGGCTCAATCCCAAGCTTACTTCCATCAAACACAGTCTCAACAATATACCCACTCTCAAACTTCATCATCGGACGGCCAGTAATTGCTGAACATCAAAAATCACACAAACCCCACCATTCCAGATTAAAATCAGCAAATCAACAAACTATCAAAAAATAAAAGCCAATGTTGGTTGTAGCAGAGTATCATCAGAGATCTATACCTGTTTTGGTGGTAGCTGTAGCTTTGAGTGACCACAACCATTTCATCAGAACAGAGGCAACACTTGAGAGAAACCCACTAACAATCTCTGCAAAAAATGAGTATATATATATGCATTGTGTACCCATCAGAGAACAATTGAAAGCTCAAAAGTTGAAACTGATCAAATTGAATGCATATATCTATGTGGGTGTGTACTCACTTGCAGGAGAAGTGGCTTGAGCTGATGAGAAACCACCAAACAAGACCACAAGGGTGAGGGCCAACACCAGCACATTCTTTCCCATTGCTCTCATTTTCCGGAGAAAGTGTGAGAAAAGTTCAGGAGTAAAGATTCAAGCACTCCACATCACATGAAACCCTAATTCTTGTGCAGAGAATGGGTTTGAAGCTAAAGAGAAGGCAGTGAAGAGTGTGGTTTTTTTGGTTCAAAAAAAAAAGAAGAGTGTGGTTTTTTAATGGGTTTTTTAATGGGTTTTTTTTTGGTTCATCAAGAAAAAGAAAGATTTTTTTTTTTTTTTAGAGAGAGAGAGAGAGAGAGAGGAGAGAATGAAGAGACAAAGGTTGGGAAAAAAGGAGAGAGAAAAAGGTAGAAAAGCAAGAGGGACCAGTGAGTGGTGAGATTACAGAGAATCATATGCTGTGAATTGAATGTGTGCTTTTAAGGCCCATTTATTTGAGGAGATAGAATGGAGGGGATTGATAGTGAAAGAAATAATAGTGAGGGAATTATTAGTGAGGGGATTAATAGTAAGGGAATTGATAGTGAGAAAATTAATAGTGAAGAATTGTTAAATTATTTTATATAAAATAATAAGACAAATAAAAAAATATAAAAAATTAAACATTATATTTAAAAAAAAAATCTCAATATAAAAAAAATAAAAAAATTTCTAATCCTTTCACTATTTTTCTAATACCATCTTTACCTCCTCCTTACCAATCCCCCTTCCAACGGAATTACTAATACTAAGGGACTAATAGTCCCCTCCCCATCTCTCAAAACAAACACCCTCATTAGTAATATCAAAGGATTGGTAATCTCAATCTCCTCCCTATAACCCCAAATAAACGAGGCCTAAATATCACCTTAAATTCACTTATTGCATTTTCACACCCGGGTATAATGAATCTTGTAAGTTACAATTAATTATTTTTCTTAATGAGTAAAGCTAACAGATATGACAAGGGGTGGGACGAGATAAGATGATGCGGGACAAGGATAAATTAATTTTGTAATTTTAAAAATGATAGATATTTATAGATTATAAACATGTAAAGCTGAATTCATGTAAAAAAGTTAAGTTTATTAGATATATGTATTTACTTGGTTGAATCATAAAATCAATCACAAAAAAGAAAAAGAAAAAAAAGATGGAAGGTATGATAAAAATAAAAATAGATTATTTATTTATTTTTTCTTTTTTTTAATTCAATTATGTGAATACTAGTATGATTATAACTTGAATTTTACATAGATGATCTTTTTGATAAATTTTGCATGCTTAATAATTAAAATTATTGAGGTGAATCCACAAAATATAAACTCTATTGTTAGGTTGGAGAGAACTACGAGTGGACGCGGGTCAGTTGTGGCTACAGAACCTTCAATCCGCTATCCGTCTGCCAAATTAAAGGATTGGAGAAAATCAATTTGCATCTGTCCGCTAATCCGGCAGATGTGGATTGAGCGGGTTGTCGGATGGATACGAATCAGTTTGGCCGTTTAAAATTTTATACTTTTCAACATAATTCAACTTGTGCATTTCTTCAAAAAAAAAAAAAAAACATTACAGTCAATGACTTAAAAAAATATTACAATCACTGCATGTCTATCCAAAGAGAGAAAGTTTGAAATTTTAGAATATTATATGGTTAATTACACTAATAGTCCCTATAGTTTGGGACTTGTGTCACTTTGATTCCTGATTTTTCAATTGTGACATATTTGATCCTGAATTGTGAATCTCGTTCCAAATAAAGACAATTGAAAATATCATTAGATTTTTTAAGGGTAATATCGTCAATTTGATAAAATATAAACTAATTTGACAAAAATAAATGTGAAAAAAAATATTTTAAATTTTTTTAAAATTATTTTTATCCACCAATGATAAAATTATGTAAAATTAATAAAAATTACATGATTAATTTTTTAAAATTAATTTTACATGATCATCATCCAAACACATAATAAAAATTAATTTGGTAAAAAAAAAATAAATGTCTAAAAGATTTATTAATTTTACATAATTTTATTTTTAGTGGGTAGAAATAATTTTTAAAAATTCAAAAATATTTGTTTGACATTTATTTTTGTCAAATTAGTTTATATTTGATCAAATTGACAATTTTACCCTTAAAAAATCTAATGATATCTTCAATTGTCCTTATTTGGAATAAGAAAATTCAGGATCAAATGTGTCACAATTGAAAAGTCAGGGACCAAAGTGACACAAGCTCCAAATTATAGGGACTATTTGTGTAATTTGCCCAATATTATAATCACTGCATGTTTCATCCACATATTACAATCACAGCATGTCTCATTCATATAAAGTATTACAATCCGTGGTTCTTAAAATATAAAAACCACCAAAATCATGAACAGAGCAGTAATAGAGATCGAATGCATCTGTATTGTTACATCTATATCTGTTTTTGAAAACAAAAATCAACTAGCATATATCATCTTTTTTATTTATTATTTTTAGAGTTAGATTTAAAAACCAAAAAATATAAATAAATAATACATTTATTTTTTTCAATTCAAAAAATATATTCAAATTGAAAACTCTTTTTCAACAGAATATTTAAACTCTTTTTCAATTGAAAATACAAATAGAATATCTAAACAAATTGAAAATATAAAGTCTTACAAATTACTAAGAGTGCTTGCGGTTAGGCGATTCAGTAGTGGCTAAAGGAACCTCAAATCCGCCATTTGTCCAAAACTAGGCGGATTGAAAAAAATCAATCCATAACCGTGCGTTTGTCATCATACATCTGTCCAAAATGCAGCGGATCAGTTTGGTTCAGTCAGTTTGAACGAATCGATATATCTGCTGCTCATCTATAAAGAGAACCCTTAGCTCTTAATATAAGTGAGAGATGATATATCATATTATAAAAATAAAAATAAAAATTAATAATAAACAATAAACTCTTAATATAAGTGAGAGATAATACATTGGTAATTTCATCATTTTTTTCATTGGGCATCACTTGCCTATTATTATTAGCGGAGTGCACGTGTGTTACACTTTCATATAATCTCATATAATGTAATGGAATTAGTTTTTAAAAGTCTTTATTACGTGTAATTGTCTTTATAATATAGAGAACAAACTTTAGAATAGGATGAACATACTAAATAATGCACCTCTTTGTAAGTATATTGTATAGACAATTTAACAAAATCATAAACAAAATATTACATATATAAACTTTAAAATTACAATAAATTAGTTCTTAAATAAATAATGTTATCAAAAAGAAGGACAAAAGAAAAAAAGAAAAAAAAAACAAATAAAGAATTTTTAGGTTTGGTTTCTTGTGCAGTGAGCATCTTGCATTATGAGAAAGATAAAATTATTCATAAGAATTATTCATGATTCATGTAGAAAATATTTGAAATTCATTTTGTAAAAAAGTGAATTTTACCTTAATGTTTCGATTCATATAGAAATTGCATAAATAATTTCTTAATATTTAAAGACTCATTGTTATGAGTATATTCAATTTCACTGTCAATTTACATTATTAAAATCTTTTATACAAATCATAAGTAATTTTATGTTAAAATTTATCAAATAATTAATGTAATGGATTTATTTTTACACCATTAAGTTTTGGTAAATGATATTTGTCCATCATTTGATTTATCTCTTTGTTATTGTGAGTAATATATGTATCCGAACAGAAAATAAAAAATAATAATTTTTTTTATGCAACCGTATCGAATGACAGAGAGAGTAAAAATAATTTGTTTTGAAGATAGAATCTATTTATATATCAAACTCTGTATTTTTTTTGGATAAATAAAAACTTGCCGATTGAAACTAGTAACCAGTGCTAAATTTAAACCGTTTTAGATTATATTATTACCAACATAATACCCGTGCTATACATGGTTGTAAATAAATAATTTAAAAGTAAATAAAAAAATTAAAATGTGGAGAAAACACTATTTATAATCAAGCAAATTTAAATTATTTTCATCTCTATTAAGAGTTTTATTTTATTTATTTGGTACTACTATTGATAGTGTGTTCTTCATATTAAATAATAAAAACATGTTATAAAGCAACTGGTAAAAATTCCAGACAAACAATAATGTAAATTGTTGAAATTGCACTTAGCATTAAAACATAAACACATTCTGCCCTTAGAATTTTTTAATTTTAATTTGCCTTATGTTAGAATTCATTCAATAATAAAAACAAATTACATTTGTCAATAACCAAATACCCTTTGGTCATGTTTGTTTGGGTGGACATGAGCTTGGGATTGGACTAATAATCCAATAAAATTATTAATCCAATGTTTGGTTAAACAATTGAAGTACGGACTATTAGTCATGGAAATGCTAATCCAGTCCGCCCAAACAAACATGACCTTTGGGTGTGTTTGTTTTGAAGGATTAGGGGGTGAGATTAGACTATTAGTCCCACCGGACTAATAGTCCATTGTTTGTTTCATTTTTTTGCTGTGGACTAATAGCCCCCCCGGACTATTAGTCCCATAAATATGGGACGATCCTATCTCATGGGAGAGGGTGTGATAGAAACCATGGGATTAGTATCCCATGAGATTATTTTGTGAAATGTCCATTTTACCCTACATGCTATTACTTAGCAAACAATTAGAAAATGATAAAATAGTCTTTTGAATATTTATAAATTATTTTTTTAGTGTTGTTAATTTAAAATTATATATTAAATAAAAAATTTAAATTATACATTAAATTTAATTAAAAATAATAAATTATAAATTATGGCCTTATAAATTAAATTTTTTTAGTGTTGTTAAAAAATTAAATTTACATATTAAATTAAATTATTTTTTTAGTGTTGTTAATTTAAAATTATATATTAAATAAAAAATTTAAATTATACATTAAATTTAATTAAAAATAATAAATTATAAATTATGGCCTTATAAATTAAATTTTTTAATTTATATATTAAATAAAATTATTTTTTATTGTCGTTAATTTAAAATTATATATTAAATAAAAAATATAAATTATAAATTATAAATTTAATTTAATTGAAAATAATAAATTAAAATAATTAAAATATTGTGCAAAAAATAAAATAAAGCAAATTTTTATTTAATCTAGTTAAAAATAATTAAAATATTAAAGCTATGTTTAATATTGCTATTACTTAGTAAATAATTGAAAAGGATAAAATAGTCATTTGAGCATTTATCCTTCCCCATAATATCCCAAACAAACATTGGATAACTAGAAATAGTTCAATCCAGA